GAAAAAATACGAGAATTCATTTTGCTTTGGAGACCGAGATATGACCGACTGGCGACGACAGATAAGCCAAAAACACCTATCCTGGCCCTTCTTGTCGCTGTGCTTAGTGCATTTTCGTTGAGAAAATAATATTTCAGGGTTGAAGTGCCTCCTTGTTGTCATTGGACCGTGACATAATATGAGGTAGTAGGTGTGCTGGACCTTTAGCAGTCTTCGTATCACTGCTGCTGATAACTCGAGACTTTTCATTCGTCAGACAAAGGAAGCTATGTACTTCACATCTAATTTCCACCGAATGCCGTTTCACCGGAAGCCACCTGTGTATACGACTGGTACGGTGGAGCTAAAACAACAAGCATCTCGATGCATGATGCAAATATTCGCGGCATTGCTGAATATGAGTCGCGTCGGAGCCTTGGTTAGGAGAAGAATCACTCACCTCGACAGTCTTTTCCCTTGTAAGAAAAAGAGGAAATGAAGTTAGTTGATCATAAAGGCTGTTTCGATTAAACCAGTTCATTAAATATTCACGTGGGGAGGGGGGGAGGCGAGGTCTGGCACGTCGACTACCTTATAAAATGCCGCTAAGTCTGGCAACGACACTGTGACATGACCACCATGAATCGGCACCGCTGCCTTGCGATTAGAATATTGAGCGAAAACGGTAGAGGGGGTCAACTTCGAAAAAAAGTCTGAGCGGCTGTTGGGGACGTACCTGTACTCATAGTCCTCAAAGGAGACACATGAAATGTCCGATTCAGTGTTACGATTCATTCTACAACGTATTCGGGACTACTTAGTCGCGAACGGATTCTTCGTATATGACAGTTCGACCATCGGTTTCGATGATGTCCACCGTGTGCCCCACAGTTGCAGCAGCAAGGGGAGCAGGGACGGTGACTTACGCAGGGGTTTATAGTGCCGGTAGACTTGCGTAGCATCTACCTACACTCTCTCCTCCTCCCTCGCCCGAGCCCGGTGTCAAGACAGAGTCAAGAAGACCGGAGACGAGGGAGGCCGCAGGTGGATGGCTCGGACGGATCTTCACCTTGGCGTTCGACCACACCCCCTGGTCCACACAACAAATAACCAGGATTTCAACCAACACAAGAGAGATTTGGAGGCTGGCACGGCCGAAGCCGCACCTGAGCGTGCCGCCAACGCCTGGCTCGGATCCCACACTGTGATGGGAGTGCCATAAAGGCCACATCAAAAAGGAGCCATTGGAGCCTGACTCTCAGACCGCCTGCGGTCAAGGAGGAGGTCCAAGTTACCCCGTCAGTTGGCAACCTTTTAAGCCACGGCTTTTAGCGCACCGGGATAGCTTCAAGCGCGTCAGATTATTTATAGTGAGGAGAAAGTGCGCTGAGTCGTCGACCTCACTCTCCCTTCTTACTCCCACACCCCAGCCGCTGTCCGAGCCGGTCAGCAAACTGGAGTGGGGAATGGGCAATGGGCGCGGTGGCTGTCATGGTCTGCTGACCATGACTGCGCGCGCCACGGCAAGACCTGGCTCCCCATACACACAACACCAGGATTTCACACAACGGAGGTTTAACGGCGTGTCTCTCACTTGCGTGAGAGTGCCGTGGAAGGTGCTGCTTCAGCCCGTCCCCAGTCCACCAGTCCGCCACTCCACACAACACACACACATAACGCGACGAACTGCGTGAACCGAGAGCGGGCGTCAATCAGCAACCTTCCTATCCACGACGCTTGACGTGTCGGGATAGTCTCGGACTCAAGTCACCCGTGCAGCCGAAGCCGCACGGGGACCGAGTCGAGATGCGGACTTCCCACTTGCGTGGGAGGTGGCAGTTGGGTGCATGAGGTGTGTGAGTGTTGATTTCTGGTGGGGTGATGGTGGTGGTGGAGGACGTAGGGAGTGAGTGAATGTGTGGTGTGACCGGCGGTTGTCTACCGCAGGTAGTCGTGGATGCGCATGTGGCCGAATAGACCCATGCGATGCTTGAAGTGCGAGGGCAGTGTGGACAGTTGAGACGAGCTTGGTGGGTGTAGGTGGGTGCTCCAGGCACTGGTTCGCAAGTCTCTGTGCGATGGATTCGCAAGTGACCGACCAGGCCGATGCGTGAGGTGAATGTGCGTGGACAGTGTGGGCATGAGAAGTCGGCAGTGTCAGTGTCAGCTACAGAGGAGGCGGTGGTGTTGGTGGTGGTGTCGCGGACGGATGGAGCGAGGGTGGGGGTGTGCACGGTGGATGTGTTGGATGTGGTGGGTGTGTAGGGAGTGCGGTCAAGGTCGCTCTCGTGGATGCGCATGTGCCCGAAAAGGCCCATGCGATGCCTGAAGGTGCGAGGACAGTGGGGGCAGTGGAGGCGAGTGCGGTGGGTGTAGGTTGGTGCTTCACGCACTAGTTCGCCAGTCTCTGTGCGATGGATTCGCAAGTGACCGACCAGGCCGATGTGTGAGGTGAAGGTACGGTTGCAGTGAGGGCAGGTGTAGTCCTGATCCTCATCGCTGGAGTCGGGGGAGGTGGTGGTAGTGTCGGTTGTTGTGCGCGGGACAGTCGCCTGAGCAGCCGCCGTAGGAGCAGTGGGCGAGGAGGAGGATGATGATGCTGCTGCTGCTGATGATGATGATGATGATGATGATGATGGTGGTGGTGGTGATGGAAATGGTGGGTCAGAAGAATTGTCAGAGTTAGTTGGCGGCGGAGAGGAGGAGGAAGAGGCGGGCGGAGGGACGATGGTTGGTGCCGTTCGAGAGGCGCAGTTAATCCGAAGATGTCCAACAAGTCCGATTCGAGCCCGGAATGTCCGTTGACATCGAGGACACGTTGGAAGCGGTTGTGCGGCGGCGTTGCGTACTGGGCGAAGTTGTGATTTGCGGGCTTCACGTTTCGCTTTGGCGGCAGCGCTGCGGTTGGCTTCGTAGATCGCAGCGCCTGTCTTCACTGTCCTCCTCCAGGTCGGTCGATCGAGTGCGAGCTCCTCCCAGTTGGTGGGGTTGATTTGCAGGCGTTTCAGGGAGGACTTCAGGGTATCCTTGTAACGGCGAATCTGGCCTCCTTGACGGCGAGAACCCGTCGCGACGTCTCCGTAGAAGAGTCGTTTGGGTAGTCGCTCGTCGTCCATGCGCACCAGGTGGCCGCTCCAGCGCAGCTGCATTTGCCTCAGTATGGCGTGGATGCTGAGGATTCCCGTCCGTTCCAGCACATTAGTGTCGGGGATTCGATCCTGCCAGTTCAGCCTCAGGATGCGACGAAGACAACTGAGGTGGAAGTGGTTCAGAAGGCGTGCCTGCTTTGCGTACACCGTCCAAGTCTCCGCTCCATACAGTAGTGTCGGGAGGATGACGGCCTTGTACATCTTCATTTTCGTGCTCAGCTGAAGACCGTGGCGATTCCAAACTGTGCTTTGGAGGCGACCAAAGGCTTGACTGGCTTTCGAGATCCTATTGGTGACTTCGTCGTCGATCTTGGTGTTGCGGGAGAGAGTACTACCCAGGTACGGGAAGTTCTCCACCACTTGCAGTTGGGTTCCGTTCACGCTGAGTGGGGTGGCGGTTGGTGCATCACCACCGTCTTCTGCGTGTTAATGACCAGACCGAAGTTCTAGCAGGCGGCGGAGAACAGGTCCATGCTCCGTTGCATCTCCTCTTCCGAGGTGGTGTTTTGGGCGCAGTCGTCGGCGAAGAGGAGTTCGTGAACGGTGGTTTGGGAGACGCGCGATTGGAAGTGCATCCGCCGTTGATTCAGGAAGTGACCGTCCGTCCTGTAAGCGATGCGGATCCCGGGGCGTTCGTCGCGGTAGGCGTCCATCAGCATGGCAGAGAACAAAAGACTGAAGAGGGTAGGCGCCAGTACGCAGCCCTGCTTCACTCCATTGGTCACTGCGAATGCCTCTGAGACAGCTCCGTTGTCCGTGACTCGCGCAATCATACCGTCGTGCAGCTGACGCACCATCTGAGTGAATCGTTCCGGACAGCCGAATTTCTGCATGATCTTCCACAGTCCTTCACGATTCACCGTGTCGTAGGCTTTCGTCAGGTCCACGAATGTAGAGTACAGGTGGGTCCGCATCTCCTGACACTTCTCCTGATGTTGACGGGCGGCGAAGATCATATCCGTGGTCCCAAGATGACGACGGAAGCCGCATTGGCTTTCCTGCAGAAGGCCCTGTTCCAGATGGTTATTGAGGCGGTTGAGAAGAATGTGGGCGAAGATTTTCTCGGCGATGTTTAGCAGGTAAATGCCGCGGTGATTGTCGCAGACTTGGCGATTCCCTTTGCGCTTGTAGAGATGCACGATGGTTGCGTCTTTGAAATCTTGCGGGGCTTCACCTTGATGCCACATCTCTTGGAAGAGCTTAGGAAAGAAACGTAAAGGCTCGATGCAAGCAGCAACCACAGAACATGGCGAGAACGCAAGTTTAAGTCCACCAAAAGGGATTTCAACATTTATGGAGCCGGAGAAAGTCATGTACTAGTAGAACGTCGGCGCGCAAATCCAGCAAGACCGATAACTTGACCTTCTCGTATATTATACCTTTATATTTAGTAGATACAAAAGCATGCCATTGCGTAGTGCTGGTTAAGTTGCTGGCGGCCATTAATATCTTTGTGCGAGATTTATGAACCTTCCACTTATTTCGGAGCACTACTGAAGAGGAAATGTAACTCTCAGAATTACCTGCGTCAATCAGGGCTTGAAAAGTAGTTTCGTTTATCTGTAGTTCGACCAATGCGCTTGAAAGGCAGTCGGGAACAGCAGCTGATGTCACAGCGGAAATGGTAGAATGGATAGCGGAAGAGACAGTTTTTCGATTTCGTGATGCCAGGCACACCTTTTGGAAATACCCTTTACCCCATCCTTTCCATAACACATCGCGTGCGGGATGCGTTGAACAAAAGAGACATTTGCTATGGAATGAATTAGAAGCTACTAGGTCAATGTTGTAGCTAGGACCGTAGCAAGCATACGAAATGGAGAGGACGAACAAATATGGATGCAAGAGTCAGAACGAGAATACCCTATAACAGGGCTTTATTCATCTTACAATTGGCTTACTGGGACTAAAACGAGAAATAAAAAAGTAGTAGATAAGATGGAATTCAGCCAGGGGCTTATGTTAGTATGACAGTCAACCTCTTTAAAGGGACTCTACGAAGCTTCAATTAGCTCAGTAACGGTGAAGGATGAAGTCGTCAGAGGGTTCTGGTACGATAGATACTGTCTTTCTGCCATTTCCGGTGGCCTTGCCTAATCAAAGGCAGTTTGGAAGTTCAAGTTCTTCTGTTTCAATAACCTCTGCCGAATCTGGTTTGACGAAAGACTACTATTGAACGCATATCTGATGGCATCGTCGTGATTTCGTTGTATCGTAACGACTAAAATCTCAGTCCTTAGGCAAGAACTTTAACTTACGTGTGGTTGAAAGTTTGTCCGCCTTCCTGTCTGCAGTTTGCCAGAAGATGGCAGGCGAAGATTTTGTTTCTGTATCTTAAATAGAGTCCTCGTAGTAATTTAATAACTTCTTCGTAACTAGAGCATTCACTAATGCATTCCCAGACTGTGGGGGAAACGTAGTTAGTCAGAACGCTTAATTTATCCGGTTTCAGGCCTTCGACCGTTCTGGTCTAAGGATTCGACCCTTTCTGGAGTTCTAAGATGGATAGGTTGTTGTAGCTAGGACCGTAGCAAGCACGCGAGAGGAAGAGCACGAATAGAGTGGGATGCAAGGATCAGAATGGAGAATACCCTATAAGATAGAATTTCGCCAGGGCATAAGCTGGCATGACAATAGTCAGCGGAAACAAGCATATTGATTAATGTCAACGCTGTTGCAACACCCGTTAGAGATGAGTCTCTGCCGACTAGTGACGTGCCCCTCTGCTTATGCTCACACACACCGCCCGCGTTTGCCTTTGTCAGTCTCAGCACTACACATGTCCGCTCCCGTGTCTTGTTCCCGCCAATCCGGCTGACCGATCAAGGGAACCCCAGAGGCGCGCATACACTGTAAAGATCGACGTACTCAACTGAACTTGCAGCCCACGGCTGATTGTGTTCTATGTCTAGAATACACTTTCTCCCACGAGTCTTGTTCCAATCAAGTGGATTGGTGGCACCAATGAGAGAGTTAACTCCACAGCATACGTGGGCCCGATCCAGTCACGAATACTCCCTCCCCCCTCCTCATTGTTTAACTACAAAACTGTTCACTCGTTGCTGCACTCCCGTATTCTCTGATGATTGTCACCTGTACGAGTCTGAAGGCCTAGACTGCTCCAGTGATCGCGCGTTTATTCGATATGTAACATGCTATCTATTGTTCCCAAACACTGATTTGAATAGACGACTGTCGCGATTGACTGACGTCCCCATAAACATTAATCAACCTTTCTTCGTTTATTGCGTATGCTTTGAATACTACCTATTAATCACAGCCCACGAGAGTTCTTGTGTTGTTTCTCGGATCAGCACAATATAAGCCGCCTCAGGCCGTCTTGTGTCATCCTTCTTGAAAAAAAATGCGATTTTAATGTTTGCCCTGCAACTACTACTGATGTTCTTTTTTTAAAGGTAAACGAAGAAAATCGGTAAGTTTCTTCCGCAACTTACATCCTCCCAAAGGTTCTTAAGACACATGCGCCTGCTGCGGACTCAGCCGAAGAAGAAGTAAGCTTCCTGCCCTCTTATCTTATTATTCACCCTAGAAAGAAAATGGAAACGCGCGCAAACGAGTTTCCTTTTCAAGACGCATTGAAGTGAAGTAAGTTCTACTACCACACACACT